ATTATCCTTATACATCAGCCCTTGACTCTTGAGACTATGTTCAAAACCAAGGGATAAGATAGAATATTTGAGTCTGAGTGTCCCTTATTTATTCTTAGGAAAAATTGTTCCAGCTGTTAAGCTCTTAAAGTCTCTACTGTTTCCCCCTCTGGTAGGCCCTTTCTTGTTAAGTTATTCAGGGTAGCTTTGAACTTACTCTGTGTCCCTGGCAGGTCTTGAATTTGAGATCTCTCTTGCCTCCTCCTCCTCCCAAGTAACTGAAACTACAGGTCTGCACTCCCAGGCTGGGTCTAAATTAGCACATTTGGAACTCAGCTTGTCCTTTAGAAAGTAGAATCACTCTTCCCTTACATAGGATATTATATGTCTAGAAGCAAATTAATTTCAGTGGCATGCCTTCTTGCTGTTGCCTCATTTCATTGTTTATTTTGAGAACTTGATTGTTCTATGCAGTATAGATTGACCTGGAACTGGCCCGCCTGAACTCCACAGTGCTCTCAGGGCATTCCTTGGTTCTGGTCCTGATGAACTGTAAGAGGTATTAACGTAGCATCTGTGGGAAAAAATCTGGCAGAAGAGATTGTGCAGAGTGTAGAATAAGTATCAAACAAGCTTTAATTCATAGAGCTGCATTGCAGGTGTACAGATGTCTGCGGGTGCCAAGGGTGTATAGTTAATACAGTTCAGAATTTTCAGCTTGGCTAGTAAAGATGTATTTTAAACTTTAGAAAAATTTGGCTGATTCCAAAATCATGGCCATGCCACTTTGCAAACCATGCCATGGGCTTGGAATCATGGCTGTTTAGGAATACTGAATCACTGGGGAGGCCAAAGGAACAGGGGCTAACGGGGTCTTCACTCTGATTTAGCTGAGTAGTGAAGCAAATGAAGCAACAGCTTTATTATGTTGCTGCTTTGCTTTGTGAGACTCCTGGGCAGAAATAAAAGAGCTGCAGGTCCTGAAGGGACCACCACATTTAGGTGTTATTCCTGGTATTGTAATAGACCCCTGTGAGGTTCACGAAGAGGTAGGGAAGCGAAACCTGTTAGGGAGAGAGCGTTGGTTGTAATCTATGTTTTTGATTATCGATGACAGGATCCTAAAATTACACTCAAATATCTCTCACAGGTTCTGAAATTGAGTTTCTGAAAAAGCACTGCAGAAGTAATGGGAGGTAAAGTGCAGAGATCCAGAGAAATGAGCTGCGAATTGAGCCTACAATGGAAATTGATCCTATCAGTCAGCATCTGCCCTTACTCTGAGAGAAGGGGATGAGGGAGCCAGAGCCAGGATGGCTGATTAAATAGGATACCAAGAAGGCTGGAGGCTAGAACTGGGCTTGCCACTCCCTGGGGTCAGGAATGTAACTGTCAGGCTTCTCCACTGGAAGCCTGCCTCAATCTGGCAGAAAGAGAACGAAATGAAAAATGCCCTGGACCAGTGTGGGAGTCACTGGAGCTTCCTCACTAAGCTTCCCGCAGTGGCTGCCATGGTGCTCCTAAGGGAAGCTATCCTGGTAGCACATCCTGAGTCAGTGAGCTCACACAGGACCAGCTGGCCTCATGATTCACACCAATGGGGCTTGTCAAGAAGGCAGGTTGTGCCGGTGTGTCCTGAGGGTATGAGTGAAAAGAGAAATGGCCTTGGAATCGATTCCTATCCTTAACCCTGTCTTTGGGGTTCATGAGGAATGAGGAGGAAATATCCTGTAACTACCGGTCCTGTACATTTAGTTTATTACCCTGTTATCTAACTGGAAGAGATCTATATTGTTCCCATAGAATGGGACTAATGGCATGCCAAGGGAACCTGGTAGGTGAGGGTGGTATTTGTATTGTACTCTTGGGAAGGCGGTATATGTTCCAATTAGCCTTACAGAAGCCCCACATTTCTGCTTATGGAGTCGCTACCGTGTGTGATCTGTTTCTACAATACCCTTTAGGAAGCCTCGAGCGGTCATCAGTGTAACTCACTGGCATCACTATCCCCTGGAAATGTCTTGTTCACTGTTAGCAGCACACTAATTGAAATATCTCTACAGAAACTTTGAAACTGGAGGCAGCATAAAATGCTAACCTGAGAACCAAGCCTTTTAAAGCCATTGCTGGTTCACATTAAATTTTGCAGACTAGAGAAGGCAAAGGGAAGGAAGGTTGCTTGGGATGAATTGTTGAAGGCTTAGTCTCTCAACTTGATCTAGCCATAGTATCATTGAAGAGAGAAAGCTACCGCAGGTGCATGGCAGCTCATGGGATACCACTTAAATGTTGTTGTGTATCTCTCTTTTAGCATTTATTGTTCATGTTTAATTGTTTGGCTTGGTTTTCCATATTTCTTTTTTTGCTCCCAGAGCCTCAGATGTATGTTTAATACTTGAGTTCCACCCATGCTTTGGATGTGTTAGTATGTTTGGTTGATTTTTTGTTTGTTTAACTACACCCAATACCCTGGCACACTTTCCTTGGCCTCTGGGTTCTAGCAAGAGGAAATTATAGTATCCTACCTACAGTAGACCATTTAATCTTTAATTGGTTGAATCAAATTCTCTCCTGCTTTTAACAAGAAGAAGAAGTGGCCAGGACTTAGAATCAACATGACTTTCGTAATGATGCCCTATTGATATGATTCATAGCTCCCTCTGTTGACACCGACCTTGCCACACTGTATCCACATCTCCATAGATACAAAAGAGCTACATAGCCTTGAAAAAACCTCCAAGGTGTTTAATAGATGTGTCAAGACTTCTGATAGATCCAACTCTCCATAAGCTGGAACTAAATCCATCTAACCAGCTAAACATCATGCATTAGCAACAGCATCCTATGGAGTTATCTGTGGACTCCCTTCCTGGACACTGGGCTGACTGGAAGCTTTGCTTGATTGCTCTGTAGACAGGTAGCCTGGAAAAGGACCAAAATTTCAAATGCAGTTTCTCTATAATGTATGTCTGCTTTTGTTTGAACGTGAAGCTAAAAATTATAAGGGGGGGGGAGGTGATCTTTTAAAAAAAACTGTTTCTTTTGAATTTTTGAGAATTTCATGCCAAATATTCTGCCTTTTGATAATATTGACCCCCAACTCCTTCCTCTGACTCTTTCCAGATCCACCTCTAATTCCCACATCCTCCCAACCCCATGCCTTCTTCTGTTGTTACTGTGTTAATAACCCACTGAGCCCAGTCTGCTCTGCTCATATGTTTCTGGTTTGTTGATCCACTCTGTACCGTGGTGGACCCACTAGGGGACGTGACACATCCTAGGTGAAGGACAGTCTGCTCTCTGTAGATGGTTGTGTAAGACAGCTTTGCATTTGGTCAGTCTGGTACTTGAGGATGCTGGGCATCAAGAGCCAGGCTCTTCATCTGAGAGTTGGAGCAACACACCTATAGCCCTGGTAATTATGACTCTCATGCCAACAGTGGTTTTAGACAGTTGGTCATGGAGATGTTTGATCTCTGATAGCTCACCCATTTCCTTGGCAGATGAATGAAGAGCTTGAGACTTCATTTTGCCTTGCTGGAATTTCTAAAGGCATTCACAAAGAAAAGGGAAGCATGCGTTCTGTGAAAACTTTACCAGCAGACAGACAAAACTGCTTAGCTTTGTGATCCTGAGGCTTTAGGTAAACATGTATTTTCTTAGGTAAGGAACAGTGAAATGAAGCTGACTAATGTATGCAGTGCAAAATAGTCTCCCGCTGAAATGAAGTTAGAACTACGCTGCATGTTTAAGCTAATACCCAAGGCAGTCAGTCATCTTATTAGTCCAGTGGCTGCAAACCTTGGGGAGAACACTTTAGCAGAGTCCTCGGGGACACCTGTGATTAAACAGGAAGATGGTGCAGAGATACCTGCTAATCTGTAAGAGATCTTGGATTTCTTGAAAGTTTCCTAAATATCTGACCAATAGAGCTTTATATAATATGTGACGGTTCCTTTATATTATAAAAGGTCACTAATCTGGAAGAAACCTTGATGCCATTTCAAAGTAACTTATTTATGGTACTGCCTTAATGTTTGTAATGTTAAAAGTTTGATTTCTAACATTCATAATTTAAATATAAAAAAATTAGTTCATCCATAAAGAATAATCATTCCCATTGCCACACTATATTCCTTGGGGCCATTTTTGTCCTGTCGTTGGTCCCTAAATTACACAGGGAAAGCAGCATGGGGATCATTGTTAGAAGCAGACATATGGGAGGCAGGTGCACATGGGAGTTCAGTGTGATCTTTAGACACAAGGCCAACAGCCACATTTCTGGTTCCCTCCAGCATGGGTGGGTTTGTCTAGGAGGGCTGAGCAGGAGGCCATGCCCTGAACCTCTGCTTCCACAGATTAGGACTAGAAGGGGAAGGATTCTTCCTAGCACTCTGACTCAGAATTAAGTACTCAGGATTGCTATTGCACGTTGTGTTGTGTTCTTCCTTCATGCTTAGAAACCATTAATACCCCCAAAGCCCTGTTTCCTTGTCACATCAGAATCATAGTGCCAACATCCAGCCTTGACTCTGACTAAGTCATCAAGCCTGACTTGGCCAGAGAACTGAGATCTATGCATTGGGAATGGAAGCATCCAGTTCACAGAATTGCTTTAAATGCCTGGTGACCGTAACTGTCATTTCATAAGTTGACACATCTATTTTCCTAACAAATTGTCATTCTCTTGCGTTCACTATGGCAATCACACTTAAGGAAAATATAAACATGAAATTATCGATGAACCATGGCTGTGGCAAAGCAGAGTCTTCTAGCTTACTCTTTGCCCAATCCTGAGGCACTTTCTTGCAACAGGGCACGGCACCTAGTAAGTATTCAGTAACGCTTATGTAAGACATAAGTACCTCCATTCCACAATCAAGCTTAATCTTTCTCTGAGTATTTTAATTCATATTATTCAAAATTCATATATTTCTTGTGTGTCATTCACATTCCTATGATATATGGGTTGTACCTTACTAACTCTCTCCTCATGTGTTTTTCTTCCTTTTAAAAAATAGATCCCATGCGTGGCCCAAGAAAACTAGAAGTCGTAGAGGTCAAATCTCGACAAATCACCATCCGCTGGGAGCCATTTGGATACAATGTAACTCGTTGCCATAGTTATAATCTCACCGTGCACTACTGTTACCAGGTTGGAGGGCAGGAGCAGGTGCGAGAAGAAGTAAGCTGGGACACAGATAATTCACACCCTCAGCACACAATCACCAACCTGTCCCCCTACACCAATGTCAGCGTGAAACTCATCCTCATGAACCCTGAGGGGCGCAAGGAAAGTCAAGAACTCACCGTGCAGACAGACGAAGACCGTGAGTGCTTTTCAATGTTACATCTCTGTGAAATGTGCTCTTTCATCCCAAACAACTTTGGTTTGTTTGACTTTGAGAGGTAGGTGGCGAGAACAGGAGGAAGGACCACTTGGTGGAGCAGTATTAATATGTCTGCGTCCCAACGCTGATGAGTTGATTAATGGAGAAAGGACAGAGATGGAGACATTGATTGTTTTTATGTAACTGACTTTCTCACAATGTTGCACATATGCAATTCACACTGATTGTTGCCATCCCCCACCTCATCACCCTATTGCCATCGCCCACCTCCCCATGGCTCCTGTTCACCCTCTATCTCCTCCCTTACGTTTATGTTGATTCATTTTACTCTTTGGCCCACTAACATTAACCAGGGCAATCTGTGTACCTCATGTTTAGAGACATTCACTGGGGACTGTTGGTCTTAGCTCTGGACACAGAGCTAAGGACAGCAACCTCCCCCTCTCCCAGAACATCTCATGGCTAATAGTTAAGAGGTAGGGTCTAGAGTCCCATGAACACCCCTTTTCTTTAACTGATTACTGATAGAGTTGGTCTTTGTCGGGCCTGGTACAAGCAACTACAATTGTATAGTTATAGAAATAGTTATAGTCGCAGTGGTTGTATGAGTCTATGGATGCTACTGTGTAGCCCCTCACCCTATCTATCCTCCAGCTCACATGCTTCCTGCCTCTCTTCTGGAATATTCCCCAAGCTTTAGAGGGTAGGTTTTTATTTAGGTCTAGGTCCACAGCCAGTCCTTATACTTTGCTTCTTATTAGCCATATGGCACATTCCTGTATGGCAAGTCTATCGAATTCTAGGTAATTCTTAACGTTTTTATTATCCTATTGGATTGAGCAATGCTTGTTTGAGGTGTTAGATCAGTTCCACAAGCTGCTTATTTGAATGCCTTTGCTCTTTCTCATCTGTCCATTGAAACCCCAGTACAGACACAGAGTAGGAGTGCCACCCATGAGCGCCTCGGATTGCATGGCTGTGGTTCATCCAGAAGATCTCCTTGACTGCTGGCTCATGCAGTCCTTCCACCCGTTCTCTTCTGAACGGTAGAAAGAGCTGCGATGAATCTCTTGTTTCTATGTGGTAACATATCTTAATATGCTATCATTATTTTTTGCGTGTAAATTATACAAACTACTTTTAAGAATAAACCATGTTTTTCATCTGTAGCAATATGCATGACGTAGAGCAGATTGATAAACATCTAAAACAACAAAATCAGTCCTTAGATGAAACGAGAAAGTATTACTAATAAACATGCTATTCCTGTTTTAACTAACACTATTGCTGATCCAGCAGGAGATGAAATGTAGCCATTTCATCAGACCAGATCAGACCAGAGAGATAAGAACTCACCCAACTCCTTGGAGTTTCAAAGTGAGAAATATTGAGAATTCTTTGGAATCCTGTCAAAATGTCAGGATCGCTAATTTTGGATCTTTGTTTAAATTATCTTACTACTCTCAGGAATTAAGGCATGCAGTATTTGCAAATAAAAACCTATTGTTTTATAGCTCAGCAACATTCAGCTAATTGGAAAAGAACTATTATTGCAAATTACATTTTCTCAATAACCAGCCAAACAAAAACCTATTTCAAAGAAGATAGAGAGAAGAAAGACAAATAGAATAATTGTCAAACAATACCAAGTCTGAAGAAAGAGGCAACAGCTCATGGTGACTGTGATTTATCCAACATCATTTTATTCTGGAATCACGTTACTGAGATATGTATTTGATCAGGGAGTGTATGGAAGTTATCTTTTGATCACCATTAGCAGTGTCAGTGGACAGCACAGGTGTTGTGGCTGCTTCCCTAAAATCCTGAATCCTAGAACTAAAAGCAAATCTTCAGCCTAAGTTCACATGAGGTTTTATTGCCTCCAGTCACTCTTCTGGATGAAAAAAAAATATTTTTTCTATTCTAAACTTTACATTTTTTTTATGAGTCCACTTAAAGCATTCTTTTTATAATATTATATTATTATTTATTTTGCATTTATCTGTGTCTGTATGTGTGTGGGCTCACATATGCCATGATGTTCATATGGATTTCAGATGAAAGCTGTCAGGAGTTGGTCCCATGTTCTACTACATAAATCCCTAGTGTGGCACTCAGGCTGTGAGCATGGCAGTAAGTACCTTCATCCACTGAGCCATCTTGCCTGCCCCATTGAAGGTCTTCTTTCCACAATACCTTCCATTACCATGTCTCTTCTAAGACATTTTAAAAATGTTCTTGTCTTTAAAGCTGTCCTTCAAGCCAACATAATTTGAATATATCCCAATCAGTTTTAGGTTAATTTCTTCTGTTTCCCCTCCTTATTCCTGTAATTACATAAATATTTTCAAATATAAACAATCACGTAATAAAACATGCAGTCATGTGAACTGGGCTGAGGCTGTGAGAAAAGGGGTGATGTCATAAGAAACCCTTTGGAGGAAACACAAAGATGAGGATAGGTAGCATTTCCTCAGGCCTGGTCCACTGCAGCTTCTGGTTATGATAAGCTGTCTAATCCCAGAGTCTAGAATTCGAGCTTCCTACAAATTCACCAGGGCCCTTGCTTAGTAGCACCATGTGTTACTTTGTTTCAACACAATGTTCTGTTGATTTCTTCAGCCTGGGGTGAATGATTGCATTCATTTTATATGTTGCTCAGATGTCATACATTAGAAATTTACTTAAATCATTTTAGAAATGAGGCAAGTGAAATCCAAGTAGGGGCTGAAGCTTTTCTAACCTGCATATTCAATTATTGGAGAGTCTTGAATAGCACCACCCCATGTGCATGCATAAAACACTCTTCTATTAAATACTTGGTGTCATTTAGATTAAATACAAAGGCTCTCACTCTACCCATGAGAATGCCCTCAAATAAAAATGAATTTAAAATATGAAATCCTTCACTTTCCTTTGAAATTCCAAGCATCTGTCCAGTCAGAAACAGACTTGCTGACAATTAAAAGACTATTTATATCCTCACACAATCTAAAGTGTCTCTGTGTCCTCCATTTTAAACTCTTTATTGAAATGTTTATTCATTCATATGGTGATGAACATTTGGCTATTTCCAGTTAAGAGCAATGTGGCTGAGAATATTCTGTACAGTCTTCTGAGCTGACCTGCTTTGAATTATCTTGGTAGATATATTGGACGGATGGATGGATGGATGGATGGATGGATGGATGGATGGATGATGGATGGATGGATGAAACAAATGAAGTTAAATGGTGGATAGATAGATGACAGATATAGGTGATAGAATATATATAGAAAAAATATATGTATATATTGATGACACATGGGTAGACAGATAGATGATAGGTATGTAGATAGATAGACATATATACAGGCAGGCAGACAGATGACAATCTGTCTTTGATAGTAGAAAAAAAGAGTAATTATTTTACAGAGACAGTATAGTTAAAATGGCTTTAGATTTCAAATTTTGTACAGATATACAAATATATATATAGGCTATTAAAATCTATTACCTCTATAAATAGCTAAGACCTCTTTGGGTGGGTTGATTATGACCCAAACATTCATCTCTCACCATCCTCTCTAGTCCCAGGAGCTGTCCCCACTGAATCCATCCAAGGCAGTGCCTTTGAAGAGAAGATATTTCTCCAGTGGAGAGAACCAACACAAACATATGGGGTCATCACTTTATATGAGGTAACTTACATGTTTGTTGATAATTTACTTTTTAAGTATAATGTTGTGTGATAATATGAGTTTTCTGGTATTTTTAAAACACAATTTCATGTTTCTTTGGTTAGTTTACTGCTTTCTGTAGTCATGATAGTTGTTCTAGAAACAGGAGATTATAAGTGAATTTTTCAGCTATGCATACTTTCAAGATACATATTTAAAATAAGTTGGATTATTGTGTTTTGTTTTTTTTTCTTTTGGTTTTTCGAGACAGGGTTTCTCTGTATAGCCCGGGCTGTCCTGGAACTCACTCTGTAGACCAGGCTGGCCTCGAACTCAGAAATCCGCCTCCCTCTGCCTCCCAAGTGCTGGGATTAAAGGCGTGCGCCACCACCGCCCGGCCATTATGTGTTATATATTAAGATGCAGTATAACATTTTAAAGTCACTGTTATTGAAAGTAATAAATATTTTGAAACATACATTGATTAGGAAGTGATCACTGAGTCATATTCTTTCCTAGCTACCAACTGCTTTTTCCCACTGATTACAAAAGAACACAGATTAGCCAATTAGAAAAGTCAATAAAAATTTTCTCTACGGTAACCATAGAATAATCTTTTTTGGTTCCTTCATATCAACGTACGTTCCTTAGACTTTATTGACATCATTTTATCTGCTGAAGCGAATCAAACAGTTGAGTGACGGTAGCAAAAGGAGAATTTGATATATTGATCGAGAAAAAATAACAGCAATAACAGAGTGACAGCCATCTTCACATCATCCTGAGCATCGTTTCATTGTGTCTGTTGTCATAGAAACAACCAGGTGCATTTTTTAAAACTAGCATTTATTTGAATGCAAATTCAACAAAATTATATGTTGTAAAGCTCCTAAAAATTATGGCCGATCTGCATACGGATCTGCCTGAATACCTCTCAGCAGTACTGATAGTCTGAGGAGATGAGCTGTCAGAGACGATCACCACCAGCCCTCTCTCTGACCCCACAGACTCAACCGATGATCCCTCACCAGTTCTGGAAAGTGGTGTTAAAGTGCAAAAACAACAACAATAATAACCATCATCATAATAATCATAATAATAGAAAGCAAAGTAAAGAAAAGTAAAGAGAAAGTCTTGCTCTTACTGTCTGTTTTATTGTAACAATACGAAGTTACACAAATCCATGGCTCAACTTCTATGGAGATGTTTTGTAGTTAAGTCAAGCAAGGTCAATTTTCTTCCGCCATGATGTAAATACTTCATATTCTGGGCCCTCTAATGGTGTTTGGACATCGATTTTATAGAATCTAATCTAAGGGGGTAAAAGGAATTTTTACTGGAACTCTTTTTGAAGTTCATTTTAAGACCCAGGCAGTCAGTCTGCCTGTCCCCATAGCCACGGGTTGCTCTCCAGATAGACAGAAACTAATAGCAAGATTTTTTTTTCTCTCTAATCCCACCAGACATTTATCTTTGTGTGGGAAGTAACTTCAGCATGGAAACAATAGGGAAAATAACATTTACAATGAAGACCCCATTCATCTCTCTGACTTAGTAACCAGGCTGTCCCAGTCAAACCCTGATCTAAATGCCGCTCCAGTGTGGATGTAGGGATATGCCATAAATCAAGGTTCTAGCAATCAGATATTTGCAAGTAGAGCAGGTTTATTTTTCTATGGATCCAATGGGGAAATATCAAATATTTGAATCAGGTCTAAATGACTAAATGCATTTTCTGGGTACCAAATCAGTCTCTCTGGTTTCTAAGTATGAGACGGAGAGAAGTTCTGGTTCCTCAAAGTAGGGCTTGGGTGGCATCTTAGGAGGGCAGAGTGTCTTCCTTTCCTGAGACTTCAGTGCTCACAATTCATGGCTCACTTGCCTTACAAGAGTCCACAGTCTCTGCTGCTGGAGCAGATGGTTGGTACAGCATCTGCCTGCATCCCCTCTGTGGAGGATCACAGTCCTACAGAACAAATACCATGCTAAGAAAGCTAAGCAATTGCTCTGAGATAGGCAGGGACCATCAGAACAGCGATCCTGCCATGGAGTCACATTTGAGTATAGGTAAAGATTACCACGGTTGGTAATGCTTTCGTAATAAATGTGTTCCCTGAGGGGTGTTAACATGCTTAAACGATTTGGAATAAAATAAAATAGACTGTCTGCTATAGATATGAACACATATATTGAGTTTTGATTACTCTTGAGTTTTCCTTTGTCTCTTACAAGAAGTACACTAAAGCATTGATGCTTGAATAACGCTAACAGTGCCCTCTGTTTTTAGACTTTACAGAGGTACATATTCTCCCTGTCCTCTGTCCTTATTCTAACTCTGCCCTCGTCTAGTTAGCCTTCCTTTCTGTTCTCCCCTTGCCACCATTCTGACCCAGACCTTCTTAGAACAATTTCTCACTTTTGCCATTTTGTTTGTCAATTATGTTCCCAAAATCCAGGTCAGGCAATTATGTCTGTCCCCAGTGGATACCCTGCCAAGCTATAAATGTAATGCTGTTCTAATGAACCTGTGAAGCAGACTCATGTTCAAAGTAGAATGTGCATCTCAATTTTTCTTTCAGGAGTCAACCACTGTTAGAACTAGACACAAGTCCATGTTTACATAAGGCAGAAATCACACTGCAGTTCCACTTATCAATTTAAATGGATACAATTTAATGTTAGCAAAAGCATGGCTTGTTACAATTACACATACCTGTGAGGTCACCAGCTTACATAATTCGAAAGTAAATACAAGGCACTTTCATGATTGATACGCAAAGTTAATCTCATGAGAATGCTCTAACAAAAATTTAGAGGACATTTTTGTATTTACGTCTCTCCAAGTATGGACAAAAAGCCCTGGAAGACACATGGGAAAGATGAGCGGGGTTTGTCTGCATAAGATTTTAAACTCCATAATGATGACAGACAGACACAGAACAATCTAGATAGCGACAGCACATTTGAAGGGGTTATTTTGAACCTTCCTGGCTGCAAATGGGCTTATGGCTGTGGTATACACAGACTTGATACAGACTAGTAAGTACAATTCAAGAACCCTTTGTGGAGGTGAATAAGGAGCAGGAGGAGGCAACTCTACCTGTCCTAGAGGTTGAATTGAAATAACAAATTAGAGAAATTTAAATAGGAAACAGATGAGCTGGATTTTGTATATCTTTTATAATGTATAACTTTGACCAGTGGCAAGGAGAAATGTGGTCATATGTAGACTGTTGGTGGGAAATACACGTTGCCTCTTTTGTAGGCAATTTGAGAGTATCCGCAATAATTTAAACATTGAATGTCGAACCTCTTTCTAGAGGTCTGTCAGTGAGTAATACAGCCAAGTGTATAGCATATAGGCATTGCATCTCACTACGTAACCACTCAGATGTCTATAGTGACCACAGGAGCTGCACATCTAAAGGCTCGTGCTCGCTATAGACATAAGACATTGAGAGAAGACAAAACAAAACAAATGAAAAAAAAAAACAAAAACAAATGTAGCTCATAGTCTCCATCACCAACCATGGAAAGAATCAGTGCCAAATCCAAATACTTCAGATTCATGTGCAGTGAAGTTTGATTCAAAGTGAAGCAGAATGATCGAGTTTCCTGCTGTTCAGGCCATTTGTGTATTAAGAGTTGAGATATCTCAAGGTCACGAGCCTAGATAATTGACTGTACTCAATCATCGTCTGATCTCGGTAACCTTGAAGAAGGAAGGGATGAGGACCAAGGAGTTGTGTTAGGCAACCTAGCTTGCCGATCAGTTCCCTGTCAAGCCGTAACTATAATACCGCCTTCATAATAAGTACAAAAGAATTTAAGGGAAAGCAACCTTCTCAGTTCTTCCTTTAAGTGGTAACTGGTAGGTGCCATAGAGATAGCCCAGTGGTTAAGAGCGCTGCCTTCTCTTCCTGAGAACATTAGTTCAATTCCTAGCGCCTACATGATGGTTCACATTCATCTGTAACTCCCATCCCAGATCTGATGCCCCCTTCTGGACTCTGTGAGCAGTGCATGTATGAAGTTCATGGACATACAATCTAACATTCATGCAATAAACATAAAATAAAAAAACAAATCAAATCTGAAAAACAAACAAAAAAACAAACCTAGGTAACTATGTTACCTCTGGAAATCATTCCAATAGTTATTTATTATTTATTATTAATACTTCCTCTCAAGGTGTCCTTCCCCAGGATTTAATGGCCACATTTTTTCCTCTCCAAGCTTTCTGAATTTTTCACATCACTCCACTTTTAACCACGGGCCTCTGCCCTCACACAGAACTTGTCCAACCCCTCCTATGGTGAATTCCTGCCATGCTCTTTAGTGGTACTTCAAATGTTGTAGTTTTTCCCAGAGTACTTTGGCCCCTTTCACCCCTGAAATCAAATTTAATTATCCGTTCCTTTGTGTTCACAGAGCAAGTTGCCCAGACCCCAATTAAAGACCTATATTTTATGCTGGCTGCAATTACCATCATCTCTACACTCCCCCAAAGATTTCAATCCCCCTAAAAGGCTATTCCATTTGAGCTCTCTGTGAAACTCGAGGTGTAGAATTGGAGACTTGAAGGAGAAAGGGGGGAAGATAATTTTAGAGGATTCCAGGCACTGAAGTGCAATCAGGAATCATCCAGTGTAAGCAAGGGCTTATTCCATCTCACCAGTTTAACACCCTTGGTCCCCTACCACTTCATTCAGGTGTCACTTTGCTTTTGTCTAGTGGCATCCAGTTAAATTACTGGGACCCACCATAGGTCAATCAGCATCCTTTAGAGTGGCCCTGTTAAAATATTTTCTGCCCTCAGCCAGCAATGTAGTACTGGTGTAAAAGCTTTCCCAAACTTTTCTCCTGGGAGCCTCCCTGCCCTCCCTCCCCCCTCCCCCCCACACACTGTGTTTTCTCCTGCCGAGTGTTCATAGGTACTTAATAAGCACTTGTTGAATTACTAACTGAAAGTATAAAATGACAGAAGTAAAGGTTATGCTCAGTCTGAGCCTGGCAGGATGCTGTAGGACCTTGAGCAATGCTGCTGAGGTCAACAGCTGCTCACTGCTTGTGACCTCCGTGGCAGGAGGCAGAGGGTTGGCTGCCTGCCTCCTGGTCCTGGTGAGCATTTTAATTTCTAACATTTAGACACTTATAGGTTTAGGGGATGGAAGTTATGGACTTTCTGGCACTGATTGCATATACGTACATAAATTAGACTTTAGGAGTAGATAAGATAGTACATAACTTTGAGGAAGGCATGAATTACTATATCCTTGTATTTTATAAGGAAAGAGGAGTGGAGTCTGTAATTTTTACCAAAGTATTAAAGGGTTGAAGCCAAAACAGGGTTACAAACCTCCAGTCTGACTCAGTTTGGAGCTGCCTGGCAATCAGCCCCTGCGGCCATTGAGGCCATCAGTGAAGCCTTTGCTTCCTAGCGTGTGCTTGTGGACCCGGGTGCCCACTTTGCCAGAGTGTGAATGCTCACATGCACTCAGGCACTCCCCAGTAGTCTTTTATGGAAAATATACCAAAGGCCAAGTAGTCACAGATAACAGTGGGACCACAAGCAAGAATCAGACATGACTCAGTCTGGCGCAGTTATTACAGGAATACTCCTCTGTCTCGGACTTAATTTAAGTCATGATTTAAGACTAAACAGTAAGTTCACAGCATTCATGACTCATCGCCATGTAAAGCTTAGGAACCCGACTGCAGCAGGAGACACTGGCCGCTGCTCTGCTTGGAACACCGGACTTAGGAGGATTAACAAATATGCCGATCTGACATGCGTGCGGCGTGGGTGGACACATTTTTACCTAGCCTCACCTGATTTCTCATCAAAATCTTCCTCCCCTGGACCATCTCTCTGTGTGTTCTTGAATCTCCGTTCCCAGCCTGGACTTCTCTTGGACTCTATTTCTACCACGAGTACTTGTTCGAATGAACATTTCAAATGCTCACGTTCTTCCTTAAATGCACACTCAGCATTCCATTTCCAATCAGGATGACTGCCTTTTGAGCAGGGCTCAAATGAAACCACTCCCCTGCCTCATCCGTATCAGTGACCCATCTCTAACACCTGTCTAATTTGTCCACAACTTTTATAATTCTTTTCCTTTTTTTCACGCCTCTCCCCCTCCCCCCATGTACTTTTTAGTCTGGGAAACTATATCCTGTCACACATAATGTACATGATTTTAGCCACTGGATTCTACCACAGTTCCCTGTGACTCTTCTACCCCCTTTATTAACCATTCAAGTCCAAATAAAAACCCACCTGGCAGCCAAGACGGTGTGTGTGTTTGTGTGTGTGTTTTAACAAATAAATTTGTTTTATTTTTCACACCTAAAATGTTCAAAGTTTGCCTGTTGGGTACGTGTCCAAATCTTTCATATTGATGTGCAGAATTAAGCATAAAGGAGCCCATGCCAACCCCTGTAGCCTGAAGAGACCTCACAGGTCTTTTGTGTTCATTCCTTGGGTCCAGGGCATTCATGCTGCAGGACTTAATCCAGATTCTAACCCCATATCCACTGCCTGACTGGTCCTTTATAGAGTACAAGACTTCCCAGGTTTGCCAGCATCTCTTCCTTAGGCATTTAGAATGGCTGTGTGGGCCTTTCTACCTGACAAAGCTTCTTAGATTATCAATCCTATTTGTTTCTTCCATAGTGTTTTTAATTGATATATTTTATTTATTGTTGATTCCCTCAGTTCCACCACACCCAGTCCAGATTCTTCACTTCCTAAAGTCAATGCCTGGTCCATGTGCTAGCCACAGCACCTGCATTCAGTCAGTGTTTAAAAAGTATCAGCAGATGTGACTCTGTAGAGAAATCAGCCCTAAGGCAACTCACTCCTGTTCTAGGCAGGCGAGCAAGAGCAGTGTCCAAAGGCTCCCTAAGTGTCCATGGGACTGTGCAGACATGTCCCCTCCCAGAGCAGAGAATAGCATCATTGTGTATTTAGAAACAGAGCTAGATAGCGGCTGTCCACAGGTCCGAGGCAAGAAGCAAAGGGTCTGAGCTTTGTCACATTTGCTGTGCTGAAGTCTAGAGCCAAAGCAGTAGTGTGGACAGAAAGACTGACTCGCCCTCCATGTGCTGTAGCCATCCCTATAATTCCACTTACCATAACTGAGGGATCGCAGCCGCCCTTCCCCCCACCATCCTGCTTACCCCACGGGGCACAAACTGCATCTGAGACACCAAGCAGGCCCCCAGAACACAGTTCTGGGCACAATCGAAGGCACTCTGGAAATGGTTCAAGTGTATAAACTGCCGTACAGACTGCCTCCCCACATGTGGTGGTGAGACTGGCCCATAATCATCAGATCCTGAGAAGGAAACTGAGGTAGGAATGGGTGGGAGCAGATGAGACCTCAGGCAACTGTAAGCAAGACAGAACAGACTCTGGGGAGGCAGCTTCGGTGAGACAGCTCATTTAGTAGTGGAATAGGGGCTTTTGAGGTTGAGTGTATATCACTGGTCAGGGCCAGAGTGCTGGGGACGTATCATTTGCATAAGGTAGAAGTCCACTGTGCTGCTAGATCTGACCTTATAAGGGGAAAGGAAGTCTAACTTGGCTACTGGGCTACATGACCTCCTCTGGTAGGACAGTGATATATGCACCAGAGCATGCAGGACTGGTACGGGGAGGGGGGTCCAAGTCCTGTGAATCTTAGGACAAGATTTTAGGAGTTGGGACGTGCCTCAACCCCACTCTTGCCCCAGCCAGCTCTGGTTACACCACCACATTCCACTCTGGAGGGTTCAGGATGGAGAGCTAATCCAGGAAGCAGGCACACAAAGGAGGCTCCACCACAGTCCTTGCTAGCCACTGGGAGTAGCTGGTTTCTTGTCTTTTCAACCTCCTCAGCCTCCAAAGGGCCAAGAGGCAGGTTACTGGCAGATCTACCTGACTCCCTGATTCCCGTGACGCCATCTACTGCGGTGATTAATATACATGGCAAATATTCCCTTTCCAAAGCTCAGGTGATTCAGTCTAAATATTCTTTCAGAGAGGTCTTCTTAATTATAATGACATGGTGTAAATATAAGGAAAAAAATAATGTCAATTATCACTCTGTATAATAACAGTGTTAGCGTTCTGGCACATAAATTACAAGTAGGTTTACTTATTTAGAAGCATGAAAAGTGCTCGGTTTTGCAATTTAAAACTTTTGAATATGCCACATTTAAAAAATTATGTCATTATAACCAGTAGAAGTTAGTAATCACCACTAAAGTGTGTACTCTTGAGTAACTGATGAACTATCATATTGAAATACTTTTTAAAAATCACTTGAAAAGGCAAAAGTTAAAGGCACCTATGTTTCGTTTATTTTCAAACATTCCAGCCTCATCCAAAAAGTGAAAATGTCTATTCCATGACAAGAATCTCGAATATATCTAGAGTAACCCTCACTGGGGGTGAGGGGGGGGACAGCTGCTAGTCACTTGGAGCAATTTAAATCTCAATTTTATTTGATTAAAATTAAATGAAATGTGCAGTTCCTAGTCTCTGTAGCCACATTTCACATCCTCAATGGCTCCATACAGCATGTGGCCACTATGGTGATTAATAGAGAATAGAAAATTTCCACCAGGACAGACAGCTCTGCTGTTGGACAATATTCTGAAAAATGTCAATGATTCTGACCCATAATAGCTATCCATTTGCAGCCGCAAGACTTACTGGCAGGCATCTCAGATTTATTTTTGGACCAGACACTGACAGCCACATGGATGAAAACACTTCAATGTAGCCTTGTTTTGGAAGAACAAGTATCCTATTCATGGCCAAATCAGATCATGGCCAAAGATTAGAGACGAGGCCTCTATTCCTGTCAGCGCCTGTCACTCTGGCCAATTACCAATTTTTTTTTCTCTAAATGAACTGTTTGGGCTCATTGAAATCAAACAGTTTCACTGTATCAGGTTATGTTGAACCCATCCTTCACATTCTAACCTACTGTCTTTAAGTCCCTCCCTCTAGAAAGGTAACAACTCATAACCTCATGCTGAGTTCCTATCCCTTCTCAGTGAACTGCTTGGAAGCATCTAGTCATTGTGGGATAAAGATGTGATCTCCATCCGTCCTCTCTGAGATCTTCATGGTGGTCTTACTCCTTTGCAGATAACCTACAAAGCAGTCAGTTCCTTTGACCCGGAAATAGATTTATCCAACCAAAGTGGACGAGTTTCAAAACTGGGAAATGAAACCCATTTTCTGTTTTTTGGCCTGTATCCTGGAACCACATACTCTTTCACCATCAGAGCCAGCACAGCGAAGGGGTTCGGACCTCCAGCAACAAACCAGTTTACCACCAAAATATCAGGTACCGTTTACTGATGCCTTTCACCAGAAGTGGCATTTTGTGCCTTTTCGTTGCTAAGGTAAAGATAAAATGCAAAGATACAACATAGTGGTAAATTTTATTAGTACAACTCTGGGTACCTAAAACAGACTCATAGGATAAAATAAATGCCACGTGTATTTAGCATCTAGAGATATGGCTCTCTTGTATTAGGGCATAGCTAGTTTTACCAGTTCTCCTTGAAGGTCTTGATTACAAGACAGAAGGTTCTGGTGAAGTTCTCCGGTCACCAGAGAAACTGGGCTGGAGTGACTCTGACATAAATGGCAAACTCAGCATTAAAGCAGCACCTGCGCTCTGCAGGCCTTGGAATCTGCACCACTGGTTGCTTTCCCTTCGAGAAAGAGACAGCATGCAGGGTGGGATCAAACACCCATGTGCTCCAGCGTTTTACAGATCCAATTATATCACCTCCAAAAATATATAGTTTGAAGAATAATTCCGGCATATCCGTCTGTGCAGAAAAAGTCTGTATTCCTCGGGAGGAAATTATCTTGCCATCTGGTATAGGATGTTTAACCACAATAAACAGAATTCCATGAACATTTTCTTATTTTTCTTTTCTCTTCCCCCTTTGGCTGAGAGTGGGGAAGTATTTGAGTTTTGGCTTGAGCTTTTTGTGGTGTGTTTCGTTAGTCATCCCTCTGTCGCTGGGATGAAATACTTGATTTCCTTCTGTTTCAGCCAAATCTTTTATAAAACCAGAGATGAAAGGAAATAAATATAAATAAAAAGAAAAACGTGCTAAATATTACTGAACTAGCCCTTGGAGCTGGTGAGAAAAAAAAGAAACTTGAAAGAGGAGACCCTTATTTTACACTTCATGGTCTCAGGCCATGGCTGCCTGGCCCTATCGCTCTGAGTCTGAGTTGCTGTTGCTCTTCCTGGTGAGAAGCACTCAATAGAACATAGCTGTACACCTCTCAGTGACTGGAAGGCAGAGACAATAAAGGAAAGATTCTGGGAAAAATTCTCCCTTCAAAACCTTTCCCTCTGTGGCTTACCAGTCTGAAAGGCTTACCTCTGTCTTTCCTAATAGTCCATTCAGGTACAAGCCCATCAGTCAATAGTTGCTTTGGTAAGATTTTCAGTCTCCCGATCCGGTCAAGACTCAGTAGCGCAGCACATGAAGAACCTAGCTTCCTGGTGACATTTTTATATCCAAATCATAACATAACATATCCATATCAAAACATAAAAATATAGAGAGTTAGGAAAAGATCTTGTCACCTCCAACAGCTAGTTAAGTAATATTCAGCATGTTTTTTTTTTAAATATTTATTTCCCTTCATCTCTGGTTTTTATAAAAGATTTGTTCAAAACAGAAAGAAATCAAGGTCCAAAATTAGAGTATTTTAAATGTTTTAGTTGGTTTGGAGGGAAAGGAGTTTTTAAAAAATTATAACTTAAGGGATATTTTTATACATCATGAGGTTTTTATGTGCACAAACTTGGCCTGGAAATTTAATATATATCCCAGAGCAGAGTTGGGAAATAAGTTTTTTGGGGGAGGTTAAAAAAATGACATAGATGGGCAGACACGAGCATAGAACAGTCATTGGATTGAATAAGAATACTTGGACACTGGGATGCTTTCTGGTGTGTTTCCTATGATTTTAAGTGAATTAATACGGTATTACCTATTGTATTAATTTTTCCATGGTGACCTAAAAAGGTAATGAGTATTACTTCAAAGGATGTTTTTATTTTCCCAAGCACAGGATATTTCTGCAAGTATTATCATAAGGGAGATGCTCCATTAGAAAAATAATTAAGCTTTTCCACATTGTATAAAAATTCCAATGAATATGAGCCTGGCCACTTCCAGTTCATATAATTCTATCCAAAAGCAAAGAAATTTGACATTTCATTTACTCTGTACAAGCTCACCCAAAGTAGTGATTTGACTTTTCTGGAATTAAAACCACATTTCAAGGCTCGGCTCTCGGTTACTCAGGGAGCTTTGGCAAGATCGCTTAATCCTAGGATTTCAGGGCCAGCCTTAGCAAACAGCAAGGCCTCAGCTCAGGGAAGGGGAGAGAGGGAGAAGGTTAGGTTATAGTTCCCAATCTCTACTCTCTATTTTCATGGACTTAAAGGAAGGAGCTCTGCTTGTATCCACCAGAGCACATAGTTGCATATTATGAAGCAGAGTTGATTCTTAGTGGAATTAGAGTGGACTTTGAATTTGTAGAAAAAAATCAATAGATGTGACTGATAACTCAAATTTGTTCCATAAAAGCTTTTTCCCCATGTAAGTTATTTTGAGCGTGCTCACAGAAAGTGATCTCCGGCTGTCACATCAGGCCGGCATGTGGTTGAGACTGGTAGCTCCTGCATCGCAGCTCCACGCTGTGGGGAGTCTGTCTGAATCTGTCTCAGGAGGGGAGAGATTATTGTAGTGCACAGTTGCTGTGCTAGGCTAAAACTGCATTTCTAGAGAAGAGAAAAAGGCCAGAAATGGCTAAAGAGAGTCCTTTGCTGAGAAATTGTTGATAGCTGATAACTGGGGAAGAGAGAATCATTTTTATTTATTCATTTTAAACCTATGGTCAGTGGTGGATTTCCTGTGCTCCAGTGGATGGGCCTACACCCATACACATCTGGGCCCTAACTGGACTTGGTTGATTTTTATTTGAAATGAAGAAGAAGGAAGAAGAAGACGTGAAGTTGGGGAGGATTTGTTGAGGAGAGAACTAAGGACGTGACTGTACTTCCTTGTATAAAAGTATTAAATTCTGAAGAATAAAGAAACAACTTATAAAACAATTTCTCTGTTAGGAAGAGAACTCTTCTGTAGATTATTTTGTCTGGAGAGCTGTCTTTTTGAACTGCTGTAAATGGGAGTTAGTCATTCCTGTTGTAAGAAATTCCTAAACTGAAGCCCCAGATAGGATTGGTCACATGTAACCCAAGCTGGCCTCACAGTCACCGAGTAACTGAGGGGCCTTGAACAGATCATCTTGCCTCTGCCTCCCAAGTGCCATGATTATAGGCCTGTGTCACTATGACCCGTTTATACTATGCAAGGAATTGAACTCAGGACTTAGTGAATGATAGGCAAACATTCTACCTACTGAATTACATCCCCAGATTTAGAGTACCTACCCCTTGTGCTGAATGACATTAAACAGAAGAGAAAGTCAAACCCAAGATGTTTGTTCTTTCTTCGTTTCTCATTTGGTTCCCACTTCCCTGCTTTTCCCAAGAATCTACTCCAACAAGTTTCTCAGGCACACACCATCCTCTTTAAACCCTTGGATGGATCTTTAGCCCATGTTAAAAAACAAAACAAACAAAAACAAACCAGAATCCTTAACTTTAATGGGAGAACCACCATGACATTCAGTTTTATGCTTTTGATGATTATTCCCAAACTTCTATATGCCTTTAAGGCACACTGTATATTTCCATTAACAATATACATATTCTAAGGTGGTTTGTTGTCAAAAAAACATACTATAAGCAGGTAGCCGGAACACAAATGGAAAAACAGAACATCACTGTGAACACCACTGACACCTCATAAGCCCCTTCTCCCCCTTCCCAGCCTTACCTCAGGCTCAGCGTGGTCCTTAGATAAGAGCCCTGACTTGAGCATCTGTTCCTGTTATTTGTATCAGGTATATACGTATGTAAACCTTGGGTGTGGTCAATTGATCGCTACTATTTGTTCTCCTTTGTAAAATAAGCAAAGTGTTATTAAGAAAATCAGCAAGAAATAATAAATCTCCTATCTAACCCTTTTCCCTAGCACCATCCATGCCAGCCTATGAATTTGAGACACCTTTGAATCAGACTGACAATACAGTGACGGTGATGTTGAAACCTGCGCAAAGCAGAGGGGCTCCAGTCAGGTAAGGGGCAGTGGGAGGGAGCAGAGGGAAGGTCAGAGGGAGGAGCAGAGAGGGAGGGAGCAGAGGAGGGGGCAGCAGGAAGGAGCAGCAAGAGGACACTCCAGGCATGTTCGTTAATTTCTTCAGAGTCTTTTCTCGATTTTCCAAGCTGTGTCTTCATCAGCTCTCTTTAAAGGAAGTGACTGAGGAAGATGAAGGGGCTCCATGGAAGGGAATGTATATGACGCATACTCCAACAAAAGAGGGTTGTCCTTTTGATGATAGGGCAAAGCTCTTAACCAGGCAACTTGACCCTCAGATGATAACTGCTTACTGCAGTTCAGGTTTCCAGGGTTGGTGGACATTGCTTTCTGAGATTTAAATCAACTGGGTTTTTTTTTTTAAATATGTTTTTTCAATTTTTAAATTGACTAATTTCTCAAGTATATATTTAAAGTATTATTTTTTAAAGGGAGACAGAAATACTGGTAAAATCAACATAAGGTTTTTAGTTGAAATTGTTTATTACCAACAACTAGGCCCAATTCCTCATTCCACTATGATTTCTGTTTTAAAAGGAACCACGAAGTAGGACCTTCATGGTGAATGAGTTAGGAAGGATTCGAAATAATCCCAGGAGTGAACCTAGCATAGGATCACTAGTCTCTGTAGGTATAATTTCCTCTTGTTTCAATGGGATTGTATATTTCCCTTTACCTATCTGAACAGGTACCACTGCCTCCATCCCTTATTCTGGATAGCATTCTGAATAGCATATCTCAGAACAGCATCTCCACTCACAGTAAGGCTGTGTTCAGTTTGTCTCCAGGCTTCTTTTGGAGAATTTGATCTGATAAGCCTTTTAAATCATGATGACATATGACCATATTTCTCCTTCCTTATTACTTGGCAAATAGTTGGGTTTTGTTCTTCTTGATAACACACCACACACACACGCGCCTCGGTTCATACAGCCAAAGATCACAAGAGAATAGTATTAGAGTAGAATGGTGGAAATATATATTTAACAAACAAAACAAAACTTGAGAATTCTTTAAGAACGATTGGTGTCCTATTGAATTATGTCTCATAGTTCCTCTTTGAGCCATTTATGCTAATTCATAGGAATAGTTATCTAGAACAATGAATATGGACACACTCTGCCAGGCATTGATGCCGTTACCACTGGGGGAGGGTGATCTGAGGCTTGATGGCTCCCTGGGTTGTTTTTTTATTTTTGTTTTTTGTTTTTTTGCACATTGTAGATGTGTGATAATTTGACAGGCCCAACGCACTCATTTCCAGGTTCTATCCAGACTCCTGTATTCTTCCAGTCATTTTCCAGGCTCTCTGCATGCGTGTGTGTTCTTACTGTCCAGGCTCTCTGTATGCATGTGTGTCACTTTCCAGGCCCTCTATAGGCACACCGGCGTGTCATTTCTCACAGCTGTGGGTCAGGCTCAGTGCACACACATATGTATTCATTCCTAAAGCCAAGGGTCAGGATTTTTTCATTTCAAAACCCTGAATTTCCATTAAATGAAAATGTATGCCCTGACCATAGCCTTGGGAGCATCGCTTATTTTTTTGGACAAACTAACAATTTTTCCAGACTCAGCAATAATGAGCACGATATTGTTTATTCTGTGAAACATTATAGTCAGAGTATCAACGGTCACCAAGGTTCATGGCCCACAAATGGAAGGAAGCAGATAGCTAAAGGTCCCTCCGTACCAGCTGTTGCTATTCTCTCGTGTCCTACAAAGTCTCCTTCTATTGTTGCTTTCCACCTGCAAACCTCTCACTCAGATTCCTACCCACACCATGCAACCTATGGATCCTTCCAAATCTACATGTTTGAACTAAATTCTCTTTGATTCTTCTACTTTTTCTGTTCTGTTTTCCATTATATTCTGCACTAAGCTCTTGTTTCACTGTGTATTTTTATACATTTGTTCCGCTTTTGGAGAGGTTGCAACTTCACTAGTTAATTCTAGATAAACTTATGCTTTCTATTTTATGTCTGTTAACAAACATGCACACCCACAGGCACATGCACACATACACACACAGACACACACACATGCACACACATGCGCACACACACACACACAATTGAATGTCAGAGTCTAACACACAGCTTATATTATACCACAGACCTTATGTCAACATTACAGAACCCATTTCCCTTCCATATAACAAATTTTGGGTTTTCACCACCACACCCCTTTCCACAGCGGTCACAGAATCATCAAACTCAAAAGCATTCTTCTTTGATTAAACCTCATGCCGTTATTGAGAAACCACCCCCTTGAATTTCCCAGAGTTACTCTGTGTTCTGCATCCTTTCCAGTTTCTCCCATAGCAGGAGTGCCTTGAGATTAATGAAGGTGTCACATGTCTTCCTCGGCATTAGAAGCAGGATCAAGGGCAATCCAAGTCGCCCGGAAGGATGCTGTCTGTCCCCAAATGGACAGATTGTCTCAGCACACATTCGAGAGAGGAAATGATCACGGTCTCACCTGTCCAGGTTTTATTCTTCATTCTCTCATAACAGCAAATGTAATCAAGAGTCTCACTCTCTAGAACAACGTAGTGGACTGATTATCCATTGAAATATAGAAGGCCCATATATCTGCAAAGATTGCTTTGGGAGAAAATGTCTATGGTTTTCTCCAAATGAATAGGGTTTGTTAAGCTCTCAATTTTCTTTGACGTTGAGAGAAATAAGAACCCTGATTGAGAAATCATATGGACCTACAATATAAAGCCATTGTGCAGATTAAAATACTGAGCACATCTGGAAATTTGCAAAACACACATGAAATCAAACTGCTACACACCAAAAAAAAAAAAAAAAAAATTGCCTCCCGAGTGATAGAACAAAAGCCAGAATGAAGAGAGGAAAAGGAGGGAACATCTGTTGGCTTTCCTAGGTTTTGAACAGTATTGTGTGGTCAAAAATACTATCGTTGTGTCGTGTGATTTCCATTCTTTGCATTGATTTGATTTTTCTTTGATCTGTAGTCATCAATGTTGGAATTCATTTCTCCTCCATCTGCGTATCTCACTGGGTGAGCTGGTGGTGTATTGATTCTACTATCAACCCCAGCTTGTTTAAGACAGTTTCCCAAAATTGCACACAGCTCTCCACGTAAATGATTGTTGTCTTTCTATTGACCAACACACATCAACTCTGTCACATAAAATTATTTAAATCCAGAGATGGCCAAGAAGAACAAAAATCCCATTATTCCAGCCAGTAAACTAGCACCAGGATAGAATTTAAATGTCTATATATGGATTCAGCTTTTTCCTCAACAAGACAGGGAAAGGCTTAATTTTCTTTTGCTCAGTTAGAGTTGTCTCATTTCTGCTTTCTCTCCATCATTCATTCTGGATAGACACAATCCAACAGAGAAAACCCTCAGAATTTATCAAAAAGGAAGCAACTCAATAAAGAATAGGTTATGTGTAAACTGTTAGTTTTCTTGTGCTAACAAGAATGCTTTGTACTGTGTGCGCAAGTATGTGTGCATGTGTGTGCACTTGTGTGTGCATGCATGGTATGTGTGTGTGTGTGTGTGTGTGTGTACGAGTAAGTACATACATGTGTTTCATATTTAGAGTGAAATTGAGGCAGTGAGGAATTCCATCTACTGTCACAAAATGTGTCACATTTTATAAAACCAATTTAAAGCTGGTACTATACAAAGAACATGGTTGTTTCTCTGGCTTCTTGCCTGCATGCTCCCAGCTAGTTATCAGTCAATGGCATCTGGTATAGGGAGTCTACACAGGAGTGTCTGTGAACATAGATCACCTCAGAGACGAGAATTTAAGGACATGAAGAATGCCAGTGAAAGGCAAAAGACAGGCAGGTGCCTCACTTGAAGATACTTCCTTTGTTAGAAATGATGTTGGCATACAGGTGACTATATAAAAACATGGAGGTTGTGAGATATGAACAGGGTATTTTAAAAAAACAGTCTTAATCAAGGAGTAACCCTTATGTTTGTCTCTCTCCCTGTGACTGCAAAAGAATCTTTCATTCCATCAGTGCCATCTTGTTTATGCCTGTGAGTGTGCCAGCATCAAGGGGGTTCTTCTGAGGCATGAGTGAGCTTGTGTGTTTTAAAATACTTCAAACCTTAGTGTGTCCGTACTAACTGCTACATCATGTCTGTGCCTGTTGTTTCCTCAAGACAACACTAGCATGTCATTTGTTTCCATTCACAAAACTGTCCAGAGTCCTCCAGCTTCCCTTCTGTCTCATTTTATTCAAACCGAGAATCATGAAATAGAATCTTACATAAAAATGGAACATCTGGCGATTGTGTCCATCAGCAAAAGTACAAACACAGTTTCTGTAGTTCTCATTTCTTTAGTGCACCTTAATATCTGATGGCATGTGGCTCTTCATGCATAAACAAGTTACTGGGATTTGATCTCATAAGTATCAAATTCTCCTGACTCCATCTTGTGCATAACAGCTCTTGAAAGCGGGTAGTTGCCTCTCCTGTTGCTCCCCAGTCACTACCTAGCCATAGCTACCATCTGCTGTGTTGAATAAACTCAGCTATAAAGTGAAAGAAACTTCTTCACCTCTGCAGGACAGTAAACTCCTCAATGAGGTGTGCCCAGGAAAATCCCATGGGGCTGGCTGCTGCAACTCATGGACTAATGTTCTCACTCTATCATGATGCCAGCTTCTTAAAGGAGGGAACTTGTGAATCCCATCCCATTGGGATACCCCCTTCTTATTATGTTAACATTTATTTCTCCCATTCTACATTTTTGTCTTTTCATCTGCCTTGAGTTAAATCCTAGCTATGAGGAGACAGTTAAATAGCAATTTGAAAACATATTTTAGTTGTTGCAATCGACTGATGCAGAGTGCGTCTCTGATTGTGTTTTCTTGCTGAGTCTGCCAGGTCTCCAGTCACACTCACCTATGGCCACGCTCTCCTGAGCACCCATTCCATTTCTGAGATACATAGTGTCTGCTGAAGTTAGGTTTC